TATATATATATATATATATATACTATTGTCAGTTTATTATCATCTAGCACACGTGCACGTCCTGTATTGTCGAGTAGTAAAATTACAAATTTATTCAAACGTACGACGTAGTGGTTCAGCACAACGATCGTCATCGGTTTCGTTCGTAATTACATGAATAATCTTCGTGTCGCGTAAGCGAATGAAAAAGTCATCGGCTCCTGAATTTACATAAGAGAAAAGTCAGTGAAATGCTTCCAAGTGGCTCGACTGCTTATTGGACAGAATTACAATCAACGTCATTGCACCGGGATGATAATCATTAGCTATAGCTTCGAATCGCCTGAATGAATTCTACGCGAGACGTGTTGTTGTGCAAACGATACCTAACGATCGTGCACTCGTGTTTTATATTTACAAGTTGCTATTAATATTCTGCTTGATAGTAACAGTAACGCAATTTCTAACAAGATCATTCTTTCTACTAATTTTATAATAAACTTGATTAATAAATAAATATAGTATAGGTATAGAGTGATACAAAATGAACAGATTTTCAAGTGGAAACAATCGAGAGTATTCTGCAAGTTACGACAAAAATTAATTATTTATTTTCTTTAGAAATAATAACAATTGTTTTTACATCGTGAAGTGACTGGAAATTATTAAACTTTAGGAAAGAGAGAGCTCTCTTTCGTTCATTCTCGAAACTGCGTGTCAGAGATGTTTGAAATTTATTTTGGATTTGGATGTACGTAGTCGATTAAGAGTTATCGCTGCGACTGATGGCGACCGATCTTGATTCCTCTAACGCGATCGACTTTCTTAATCGTTTTATTGTTTCTAAATGACACACGCGCTGCATTATTCCCTATTACGTAATTAAAGTGCTGCTTTCCTCGCGTGGAAAATTTCAGAGTACTATTTCCTCAACGTATTTCCATTTACGTAATAATCACTCACGCTTCGTGCAATATTCATTTACACGCGTGTTCCATGTGTCCGTCTGCAAAATTCATCTAGACAAAGAGTTCTCTCTTTATGCTAATAAATAAATAATTAGGTATTAACATTATTCTCGTAAAACTGCTTCAAGAAACAAGCAATGATAGTGATAATACTATCTACTACGTTCTTACACGTATACCAAATAGTTTCTAATGAATAATAATAAATTGTATTTGTAAGTTCTCTCTGAAATGCAAAAATTACACTACACTAAAAAATCAGAAATTTCATCTAAAGGTCTTCACGCGTAGATACTAAAAACACAACAGTCGCCCATCCGTGGAATTCAAAAATTCCGCTACTCCGAAGTGAAAAGTTCAAACGTCTTCGGATTTTGGAAAAAAAATTACACGACGCTCTAAAGTAAAGAAAATTTAAATGCCACCGCATATACTAAACGCAGCAGTCGCCCATCTCTGAAAATTCAGAAATTGCTACTACTCTGAAATGGAAAATTCAAATGTCCCCGCATGCGGATACTAAACGATCGCGCACGTTTTCTTTCTCTCCGCAGCGAAATTCGCAACGACACGCGCTCGAGCGAATGAATTCTTCCATCGAATGAAAGGCAATGTTAATTAGGAGAGAGTATTACATCATTTCGTATCGCTAAAGATCGCTCCGCGTAGAGGGTCAACAAGCTCGCGCAACCAAGAGAGGAGGCTAGCCGTCGCTTCACGGCGATCCGCGCGTGGAACACGGTCGAAATGTCATAAAAATACGAGATTGTCTGTCGAGCCGGAGAGATGCAATTAATCGAATACATGGTCTCTTGATTCCTCGCCAATTTGTTAGACGTTCGCCGACACGCTAATGACTTCGATCCTCCTCGTTGTCCTCGCGCGAAAATTTCATTATCCCTTGACGATTTTTCGAATTCGATTGAACGACTGTATCTCGCGACGTGCATTAATTTCTTAAGCTCTTTTGTTTCATTTCGAGAATGCGACGAGAATGTGGCGAGTATACTCGACGAAA